CCAGAAGCTAAGAGAGAAAAGAAGGGATCTTTCCTTAGATCCTTCAGAGGGAACATGACCATGTGGACAACTTACATTTGGATTGCTAGCCTCAGTGGTTCTCAACCTTTCTAATGATGCAACCCTTTAATACAGTTCCTCATGTTGTGGTGACCCCTCCCCAACCATAAAATGATTTTCGTTGCTACTTCATAACTGTAATTTTGCTACTGTTATGAATCTGGTGACCTCTGGAAGAGTAGTCTGACTCCCAAAGGGGTCGTGACCCACAGGTCAAGAACCACTGCTTCTAGAGCTATATGCCAAGATATTTCTGTCATTTAAAGCCACTCAAATTTTGGTATTTTGTTTATGGGAGTCCTAGAAAAGAGCTCTTCCTTCCTTATCACTTTTCTTGGATTTGATCATACAAAATTAATTTTCTTCCTACTGTTTGTGCCAAGCCTAATTGGACCCTTTTAAAGCTTGCAATTCTCCTTTAAGAGATAATTCTCTTATAGATATTCTAGTCTCTCTCCTATTCATACTCCCTGTGTAAGTCTCAGCTTTCTTATAGTATAAAACATTTGCAACCTTATAGTCATAAAATATATGCTTATTGACAAAAGACTTATGCATTAGGTATCTACCATAGACAGCAGCTGCTAGAATAATACAGCAGTAAGCAAAACACAAAAACATCTTTGTCCTTGTGAAACTTTAATTCTCTGAAGGAGATGGGAGTAACCAGATAACTAGATAAAGGATAGTGTGTTCTAGGTTAAATGAGACCTTAAGAGAAAATAATCAAGGCAGCAGAGAAAAAGATACAGAGACTTAGGGTATATCGTAAAAATCTACATTTTTCCCAGCCTAGTCCTTGTTCTGAGCTTTAGGTGCATATGTAAAAATACCTAATACATCTTGACTAACTAATAGTTATCTTAATCTCATCATGACCCAAACTGGAGGTTTCACCTCATTTTCTTCTACCACCACCATTGAGTTGCTCAAAAAATATTCTTAAATTCTCCTCTCTCATTGTTCATATCCCATCTGCCACAAAATCTAGCAAGTTCTCCCATTCCCTTCTGTCCTTGTCACCATCCTAATTATGATCAGCCTCAGTTCTAGACTGGACTACTATAATAGCCTCCTAACAGAGCTCTTACAGCCCTTTCTGTTGTCGTTCAGTGTTAGAATCTTCTCCCTACTCTTTTGGCTTACCAGTCAATGGCTTCCAATTTCCTGGTGTTACGAGGAATCATAATCAGTGGTGAGTTTGGAGGTGTGGGAGCTCTCAAGCCACTTTGACCCTTGTCTTCTTACTGTTTTCCCTTCATTCCTAATTTATGACATCCTCTGTTTCCCCGGGATATGTGCACACGCTATTCTTGTTGCCTGAAATAGCTACTTGCAACTGAATAATCTTTCAAATATCATTAGAAGTATAGTTTCATCAGGCAAGTTTAAGCCATTAAATAGTTACCTGCAAAAGTGTGTGTGTGAGTATATATATATGTATATATATATATAGTTATGCACATATATCTATATTTCCCTTCCCAATTCCAATACATGTTTCAACAGCAATTGCTTCTATAAAGCCTCTTTTACCCACAGCAAAGTGATAGAACTACGTTTGCCATTTCAACAGAGACCACCTATGTTTGGCATAGAGCAGGTACCTACTATGTATTTACAGAACAAATGAATGAATATTGAAGACTACTGGCGCATGATTGGGAACTCTTTACTTTGCATTTAGAAGTTTTCAGTCTCAGAGATAATTTCAAATGGTATTCTTTCAAGAGTACTTAATATCTGCTTTCTCATCATACCTTTGAAGTTCTGGAGGATGCAAGTGACCATCCCCAGATTTGACCAGTGTCCTATCTTACACACTAATGCTCTCATTGTCACTTCTCCCTAGCTAGTGTCATTGAGAGAGAGAAGTGCCCTGGTGTTGATTCTGCTGTACAACAAAGATTTGTTTTTGGTATAAGTATTATCTTATGTTTTATAAGTATTAGGAACTTTAGCAGTGACTCGTGTAAATTATAAGTCTCAGTTCCAGTCACTGGGATGTTATTATATGTAGAAAATAAAGTTTCTTTTATTATCACTCTTTTGATTGCTGTTTAGGTCTTTCATACAGTTTCTTAGCTGAATTCACTTGGAATGTCAACTTCTCTCTTCTCAGTCTAAATTATGATAATTGCGCAAAATCTGTGTCCATTTAGTTTTTATACATTAGTACCCTGTTTCCTTTCCCGTGCACCATGATAGCTATAGAGGTTTATAATTATAACCTACACTTTTAAAGAAGAGGAAACTGAGACTTAGAGAAACTACAAACTTGATCCAACAACAAAGTAATCAAATTGTTGAGCTGATATTTAAACCCAAGGATCTGTCTCTACTTCCTTTAAGCTCTCATCTTGCACAATACTATTATTTTAATTGTTAAGGTGCAACTTACTTTTATTTTAAACCTTCCTCCTGGTCTCCCGGAATTTTCTGTTTTTAGTAGGCCTTCAGTAAATTTTCACCTACTTTCCCTTAGAGTAGTGGTTATTATTATTATATAGTTGCAGTTATTATATTAGGTCTCTAATGGAGTCCCTGTATGGTGTAAATTATGATATATTGGTGGTTTTATTTTGTTTACTGCATTTTCCCCCTTTCAAGTCAAATTGACATTGGCCTAAGTAGGAGGGGCTGGAAACAGCTAGCACAATATGGATAACTAGTTGTTTGAATTGAAAGGTCTGTATTGAAGTGTTTCATGTGGAAGAGTAGTTTTCAAGGGCTTCACCAATTGGGACTCAAATTGCTTTTTGAGTCCCCTAGGTATAATGTGAATAATCCAAATTCGTTTGTCTTTAGCCCAGTTAAAAACAAAACAAAAACTGTCACCCAGTCCATTTGGACTGAAAGGGACACTAAAGAACAGAGTAGAACTGCCCCATAGATTTTCCAAGGCTGCAGTGCTTGAGGTAGCCTATTGCCACATCTTTCTTTCGTAGGTTTCCCTGCCCACCTTTTGGTTAGCAGGCAAGTGCTTAAATACTGCGCTACGGGGCCCCTTTCATAAAAACTGTGTAAAAGATTTTCATTTGGTATCAGAATGAAGAGAACAGGAGCAATCCATGATTTGCCTTTTCCTTAGTTCTCAAAGTAGAAAACAGACCATAGTAGTTACAGATTTCTGTGTGTGTGCGTGCGCGTGTGCGTGTGCGTGTGTGTGTGTGTGTGTGTGTGTGTTCCGATGAGCTTTGGAGCTGTGTAGCACTCCACATCGGTGGATCTGCACCATGATCTTTGTCTGCTCATAGTACAGTGCTTTACCTGTCTCTAATCAGGAGCTCCCTTTGTCAGTGAGTGCACAAAGCTTCTTGCCGTTTTCCATCCCTGGGAAAGGGGAATTCTTCCTTCCAGTCCTCGGCTTTCACATTCTCCCAAGCTGCCCCAGAATGACCCTCTGACCAAAGCAGGGTAGGGGGAAGTTGTCAGGAGGTAAGTGGGTCAATGGTGCAGCCCTGACCAAGACCCTAAGGAGTTTCAGATCCTGTGGTAGCAGACGAGACTGGCAGCGAGGGGAGCTAGGTCCGCCTTCTGGCTGCCCAAGGTGCGGCCAGCAGCCCCTCCTCGCCGCCGACCCCAGCGGGCCGGGCAGTACAGTCCTCTCTCCTGCCTGGCTCCGGCTCCGCTCCACGGTTCGGCTGAGCCAGGGCGAGGTCAGGAATGAGGGGAATCGGGGGCTGTTCCTCCAATGGTTAGGGATGTTGCCTTTGGCATCCAATCCGAGGTTCACTTCTCACCACCTGGATGACCTTGGGCAGGTTCCTTAGCTTCAGTGCACCAGTCTCTGCCCGCCCCCGGCCCCCCCCTCCAACCCCACCCCGCGCTTTCCATCCATGAAATGGAGAAACTGAAGTGATAAGTAAAAACCTAATATTGGTGTATGATTCAATGCAACTCTCCTGGCACATAGTAGTAGGCAGCTAGTTAGGGGCACAGTAATTACGAGATAAAGGCTAAGCATCCGGCTCCAGAATAAAGGGTTCAGCTCTGGTTTTCTCAGCTGCTCCCCAGAGCCACTGGGGAAGCCCCCGCCTTG